TAAGTGTGTATATATATATATATATATATATATATATACACACTTAGATATCCATAGTTGGTTATAGTAATGATTTCTATCATTTTTCTGTTTTTTAGATTCCTGAATTTGACAACTTGTACCTGGACATGAATGGAATTATACACCAATGTTCCCATCCTAATGATGATGATGTTCACTTCAGAATTTCAGACGATAAAATCTTTACTGATATTTTTCACTACTTGGAGGTGTTGTTTCGCATCATTAAACCTAGGAAAGTGTTCTTTATGGCTGTTGATGGTGTGGCTCCTCGAGCAAAGATGAACCAGCAGCGTGGGAGGCGTTTTAGGTAAAGCATTTGTGGTTTACTTGAGAATACTCTTTAGATTAATAAAATGTATTCTTTTAAAGATAATTGGCTTAATGCAGTGCATCTTCTTTTCATGTTTCTTTTCTGCCTAAATTCCCCCAGAAATGGAAATAACTGATTATGTCACATTATATCAGTCAAGTAAACAAATTAGTAACTGAAGTGAAGTGTCATTCTCAAAGCTGTGTTGGGCTGTGTAAAGTTACTATTGTTTTCATTCGTAAATTTTTAAACTTCTCCTTGATAATAGTGGTACAATTGACCCTTGATCAATGCAGTGGTCAGGGGCACCAATCCCCGCGCATATAAAATGTGCATATAACTTGATTCTCCCAGAACTTAACTACTAATAGTCTGTTATTAACTGGAAGCCTTAGCAATAACATAAGCAATAAACACATATTTTGTATGTTATATGTATTATATACTGTATTCTTACAATAAAGTAAGCTTAGAGAAAAGAAAATGTTATTAGAAAAATCATAAGGAAGAGAAAATAGATTTACAGTACTGAACCATATTTACTGAAAAAAAATCAGTGGGGGCACCTGGATGGCTCAGTTGGTTAAGCATCTGATTTTGGCTCAGGGCATGATATAACCATTTGTGAATTCAAGCCCTACGTTGGGCTCTCTGCTGTCAGCATGGAGCCTGCCTCAGATCCTCTGTCTCCCTCTTTCTTCCCCTTTCTACCTCACTCATGTGCACTTTCTCCCTCTCTCTCTCTCTCTCTCTCTCTCTCTCAAAAATAGACATTAAAAAAAAAATCTGTATACAAGTGGACCCACAGAGTTCAAACCTGTGTTGTTCAAGGCTCAACTGTAGTAGAGAAAACTCCACTAGTAGTCTGTCCTGAACCAGAGAACTACAAAGTGAAATGAGAGATTGTTCTAATGGAAACATCGTTGACAATTTAATTCAACAAACATTTGTTAAATGCCTAGACTGTGGGCTAGATGCTGACTCTGATTGAGCATTGGTCCAAATTGGTTAGAAAGGCAAGTGAGACTAGAAAATGATTGGTGGAGTATGAGAAGAGAGCTGAGTTAGGACATTTGAGGTACTATCCGCCCCAGTGTGTGAGGTGGACAGTAGGAAAAGTAAAAATGAGAAAAGGTACATAGAGTTTTAAAGTCAAAATCCTGGACATGTGAAATAGTTTTTAAAAACAATGAGATCATGTTGTGTCCTTATTTACGAGTAGGATAAGTAAAGTTAAGAGCGATGTTAGAATTGATGGAAAGAAACCCTGAGTTCTGTGTGTTTGATGGGTTGTTAGCATAACGAATCCTTTCATTACAACAGCAGGTAACGGAGTGGAAAGGGCACCTGTGAATAAAATATGGAAATGATCAAGGAAGGTGGGAGTGCACCTTGGAGAAGGCTAGCAGTGAGAATGGGAAAAGGATGGAAAAAAATACTGATTTAAATATCAAAAGAGGAAAGATCTTGAAGATACTGAAACACCTGTGAAATTTCTTTTTTTAATGTTTACTTATTTATTTTGAGAGAGAGAGAGAGAGAGAGAGAGAGAGACAGCATGGTGCATGTGGGATGGGGAGGGGCAGAGAGATGGAAAGAGAATCCTGAGCAAGCTCAGTGCCGACAGCACAAACCGTGAGATCCTGACCCAAGCCAAAATCAGAAGTCTAGACGCTTAACTGAATGAGCCACCCAGGCACCCACTGTGAAATCTTTTTTTTTTTTTTTAAGTTTATTTACGTATTTTCAGAGAGAGACAGAGAGAGAGAGAGAGGCAGAGAATCCCAAGCAGGCTCTGCTGTCAGTGCAGAGCCCGACACAGGGCTCGAACCCTTGAACCATGAGATCATGACCCAAGCCGAAACCAAGAGTCGGACACTCAACCAACTGAGCCACCCAGGCGCCCTATCTGTGAGATCTTTAAAGACAAGTACCATCTCTTGGTAAATTTAGAGTCTCAGGTACCAACCTAGACTTACTTAATTTGAATCTCTAAAAATTGGGCCCTGGAAACCATTTTTACCAGATTCCCCTGGTATTTGTTAAACTAATTTGGGGGAGCTATTGGACTAGAAAATCTAGTATTGAGAAAGGATTATATAAGCCCACTGTGTCAGTCATTGTTCAGTTGCAGAAATAGAAACCTGGCTATTTTAAGCAGAAGGGGATATAATGCAAAGAATTAGGTGCTTATAAAAATCATTTTAAGAGCCAAAAGGATGGGAATTTAGGTGAGCCTTCAAGAGTGACTTCAGAACAGCACTATAGAAGTGAACCCACAGTGGCACTATTACTACAGCATTCAGGAAGGTGAGGAGTTCACAGGCCCCCACCAGAAGAGGTGGTTCCAGGAATGTATTCCTTTATCTGTGATCCAGGGATTAAGAAGGTACTACCTGAACTATTTGCTCCAAAAATAAATCACTTTAGTTGTAATTCAGCAATCAGGAAGCCACCACTGTATCTGTTAGCTCCAGAGCCCCAGTGTATCTGGTAGATCTGCCCTGCCCCTTGCTTCTCAGCACCTATGAAACTACTGAATATTGGGAACTCTTCTATTATTGATAAAATACACATATCCTATAAACCCAGTGCCTCAACAATCATATACACTTCAGCACACAACACTTCCACCTTCCAAATCTTTTATGGAGGTATCTGACTGACGGAATCTAAGTTATATCCTTTCACCTAGCTGCAAGGAAGGTTCAGAATTTAATTTTTTAGCTTTCTAACCTCTCCCCTATCAGAAGACAAACTAGGAGAATGAAATGGATGTTGAGGGCCAATCCACCATAGCCATGGAAAGCATTTACTAAATATTGTGCTGACACAATATTGAGTGACATTGAATCCTCCAGTCAGCTTTTTCTCATTTTCCACAGAGACTATATTCTCCATTCTAATCTTTTAATTACTTATAATCTTTCTGCATCTCTTACTCATTTTAAAATCTGCTGCTGTCTGGCTTTCATCCCTACCACTAAAACTCCCTTACAAGATTACAAATAGACTTTGTATGGCTAGAATTCTCTCTGTATATTACTTCATTTATTTATAGTTTTTAACAATGTTGACCATTCTTTCTTTCTTGAACTTCCTTTCTTTGACCTTTATGTAACCATACTCTCTCTGACTGCACCTTCTTGATCTCCCTATTACCTTCCCTTCCTCTGCCTTTTTCTTAAATACTGATTTTTCTTAAGGTCCTGTCCTTGGTCCTGAGTGATCCTATCCAGTGGTTTTAATTACCGTGTCTATACTGATGACTCCCAGATTTATCTTCTTGGTGGATATCTCTCTCTACAACTCCTTTATATCCAAATGTCTCCTAACTATCTCCTTTTAGATACCGTAGATACATTTCAGGCTTAACATGTTCAGAACTGAACTCCCATTTCAAAACTGCCTTCCTTCTGTTTTCTATTGCAGTGAATAATAACACCATGCAAATAGCTGCTCAACCAGAAAGTCTCAAGAGCAATTTGGACGACTTCTTCCTCATTCTCTATACCTACCTCCTGTTTATCCATTCTCTTAAATTTGTCATATATATTTCCTTCTTTTCATCTTTACTGCTACTGTCTCAGCCTAGGCTACCGTAATCTTCCACCTGGATTGCTTCAATAGTCTTTCCTTGTCCCTGTCCCATACATTCTCTATATTGCAGCCACATTAAACATTAGGGCTGTTAACTTTTCTGTCTCCCCACTAGAGTGTAAACTCTGTGAAAATAGGAATCCTTTCTGTTATATCTCCAAAACTTGTCACATAGTAACACTGAGTAGTTGTCCAGTCAAAGGAAGGAAGGAGAGAAAAGAGCAAAGAATGGCTTCTATTGGAGAAATTACAAATAAGTTGATATCTTCAGAGTTTTTGCTATCTTGAGGGGGTTGGTAAGAGAGAGAAGTTACATATGAAGAAGAGTTATTTATCATAGAAATGCAGTTCCGCAGGCACAGTAGATAGAGCTAGTATCAAGTACATAAAGCAGAGCTTCCTAATGTAAATGCCACATGGTATACAGTGTGCCACAGACGGGTTACAGGAGAAGCAGAACATTGGGAATTGGGATGCCTATTTTCAAACCTAGGTCCATCTGACTCTAAAACTCACGTTTCTTTCTAGTAAATCCTGTTGCTTCAATAGTGACACAATTTTGGCAAATCATGATGGCATTAATGTTACTAGGCTTTGATTTTAAATGTTTTTTATGTACCTTCTTAGTGCAGCGGGCAGCGCTTCAGTCTCATGAATGTTTTTTATGAGGAAACGCAAATTGTGCTCAATTGCAATTACAATTTTACAATTATTTTTATGTAATATTCTTAGAGATCATTTTAATAATGTGCTTCCTGTTTGATATTATTAGTCAGTGTAGAATGTATATATAATGAATGCTTAATGCTCTACTTTTGAACTTATTTGTAGAATCGATTTGCTATATAGTTAAGAAGAGAATTATAAGTATTTGTATTGTTCTGGGTCAGTTTTAAAAGATTACTTTGGGGCACCAGGGTGGCTCAGTCGGTTAAGTGTCCAGCTTCGACTCATGATCTCATGGCTCAGGAGTTTGAGCCCCGAATAGGGCTCTGTGCTATTCAGCTCAGAGCCTGATGCCTGCTTCAGATTCTATGTACCTCTGTCATTCTGCCCCTCCCCCACTCATGCTCATGCACTCGCTCTCTCTCAAGAATAAATAAGCATTAAAAAAAATTTTTTTAAAGAATTACTTTATAAGTATTTGTAATTTTCTGTATCAATTTTATACTGTTGTAATGTTCTCCTTCTATAGTTATCTGAAAAACTCAATTCTTTAAATAAATAAAAACAAACAATTCTGAGGCTCATCTTTATCAATTATAATCATTTCAAAACTTGTGTTATGTTTTGAACCTCAAATTAGTTAATTAATATTTTAGTTACAAAAGCATCTAAATAACAGTTTACTTTATGTAAAGATCTGTACTTTTCCCCAAAAACCTTAAGATATTTTTTCCCTTAACATTTAAGGTCAGCAAAGGAGGCAGAAGACAAAATAAAGAAGGCATTAGAAAAAGGAGAAACTCTTCCTACAGAGGCCAGATTTGATTCCAACTGTATTACACCAGGTAAATTCACTGAAAGAAAAATTTTGAGAGATTTAAATGTAAATGTAAATATTTTTTCAGATGTATTTTTTTTTCTGGTCTCTATTTTGTCCTTAAGATTCCATTTGCGGTTTTCCCAGTTGTGTCTTCTCATGAGATATCTTGATCACCTTGATTATAAGTGCTCCTATGAAGACCCACTATACGGATTTACAGATGTTGATAAGAGCAGCTGTGGATAGGACTCTCCCAGATGCAGACTTCTAAACCTAGAAGGATCTTACAAGATCCGTCCTACTCCCACCATTTGTTTGTATGAAAACTGACTCAGTGAGGTTGAGTCACATCCATGGAACTAGCCTGTTATGTAGGATAAGAAACCCATTCTCCTAGTCCGGAGCACTTACTATCATATTTCTTAAAGGCAGTTAAAATTCTGTGACTTTAAGAGTAAATTAATTTATTAGTATTATAACTTTAAATTAGTTTTATATGCAACAACATACTCTGTACTTACTAGAGCTTTGTCTAACATCATTATAATCTTCTACTTTGAAAAAAACTTAAAATCTTATTTTTTTTCATGACTTCTTTACTAACTATGGTAATTTTGTCTTTCACTTAAGTGTTCTTATCATACATTGGTTGATTTAATGACCAGTTTTATCCTGATGTGGTTTAAGACCGTGTTGCCTTTGACTATTGACCCTCTGGACTTTTCCTGAAACATAATCACTGTAAATTCAGTTTCCAGAATAATAATTTTCCAGGTAAACAGTAATAATAATAATAGTTGTGGTTGTTGTTGTTGTTAGTAATCTGATTATAGCTACAGGCCTTAAAAAACATTCAGAAGCCAGCAGAGGAAATAGAAGATTGAGATTCATTAGAGTTGAAACTCTGCCCTTGTGTGAAGATACTGAAGCATAGTTCTCAGGCAGTAGTAATATTTCTTGATTTAGCTACATGAAATTAACTTCATTTTAGGGTGAGCAGTGAAATGAGAAACATTGTAATATTTTCTAGGGAAAGGCATGAGGGCTTTTCCTCTGGAGGATTACCTAGCTATTCCTACCCAGCTGGATACTCAGATCCAATTTCATGTTGTTTCTGGGAACTCATTCTTTTTTATGTCTCTCTCAGATTAAATTTTTTATTTTTATTTTTTTCAGATTAAATTTGTTAAAACTTTTTATTTATAGGGACTGAATTCATGGCCAGGTTACATGAACATCTGAAGTATTTTGTAAATATGAAAATTTCTACAGATAAATCGTGGCAAGGAGTTACCATCTACTTCTCAGGCCATGAGGTTATTATCTTTTTTTATTTAAGGATATTTTTAAATTTAATATTCTAACGCACAGCATATTACCACATTTTTTTTTAACACGTATTTAGACTCCCGGAGAAGGAGAACATAAAATCATGGAATTTATCAGATCTGAGAAAGCAAAGCCAGATCATGATCCAAACACCAGACATTGTCTTTATGGTTTAGATGCTGACTTGGTAGGTATAACATTTATTTTTATTACAACCTTATGCCATTTTAGTTAAATATCTAAGAGACTTTTATAAGAAGCTTTCTGGCTGTAGAAACAAATATTGGAAACATAATAATGGTTGCTACTTCTGCCATCAGCACAGTTCAAAACAATTAGAAAATGAACTCTTTTGGGGCATCTGGGTGGCTCAGTCAGTTAAGCGTCCAACTCTTGGTTTTGGCTTAGTCATGATCCCACAGTTCAAGAGTTCGAGTCCGCATCAGGCCCTGTGCTGATAGTGCAGACCTGCTTAGGATTCTCTCTCTCTCTCCCCCTCTTTCTGTCTCCCCCCAGCTCATGCACACGATCTCTCTCAAAATACATAAATAAAATTTTTTAAAAAAAGAAAGCTCTTGCCATAATTTATGATTAGCAGGTCTCTGTAGTTAGTGTTCACACTTGACTGATCCTTGTGCTATGAATACTCTGCTGTGGTCAGGGTAGAGGGGGCTTTTTAATCTCATGCTTGATACATAAATTTTAATAATACCTGATCTGATAACTCCATGACCCAAATAACTTTACTATACTTTTTTCATTTAAACTTTTTATTACAGAAATTTTCAAACATAAAGTAGAGAAGTTATAAAATAATGAAACTTCCTATAGGCTTTATCCACCTTAAATAATTTTCAACCTAGAATAAATACTCTAAATATTAAATTACTTTCCTTTTCTTATCCCTAACCATCTGTCTCCTTTCTCCTACTTCCCTTGACTCTTGAAGTGTATCCCAGACATTATATCATTTAATCTTTCTCTAAAGAAGGGTTGTTTGAAATAAATAACCATAATGCCATTATCATACATAAAACAAAAATTAATAATCACTGTTTAATATACAAATAACCATTTAGTATTCACATTTTCCTGATTGCTTCAGAAATGTTTCATCTTGTTTTGTATGAATTAGGTTGAAATAAACAATATATGTTACAGTTGGTTGATATGTCTCAGTAGACTATTTGAATGACTTACTTTGGACATTAGAATACTATGTGAGAAGGGCTCCTGGGTGACTCATTTGATTCAGCATTCCATTCTTGATTTCAACTCCAGTTGTGTTCTCAGGGTTGTGAGATTGAGCCCGTATTGGGCTCAGTGCTTGCACAGAGTCTGTCTTAAGATTCTCTCTCTCCCTGTCTGTCCCTACCTTGCTTGTGCACGCACTCTCTTTCTCTAAAATAGAAAAGGAAAGGAAAGAATACTATATGAGAAAATTAAATGAAGAAGACCTTTTCTAGTTTTTTGTTTGTTTGTTTAATTTTCACATAGTAGAGGTATTCTGGCCTCCAGAAGAGTGTTAACATTCCTCTATCATGGAAAAGTTGCAACCTCCAATTTTTTACCCATTTCCCCCATAGCGGATGGAGAGGTGTGAAAACCTAGAGAAGGTTTTGGGGATTTTTATGGAGGGTGGGCAGGGTGGCAGTTACAACGGTGATGTGAGTCTAAGGTAAACATTTTTTCTTAGAAAAGTGCATTCATTTTACACCATTCATAACTTATGAGTGGATCAGATTTTGATATTTATATAATGTGCTGATGTTTTTATTAAATAAGCCTCTTTTTTTCACATAGAAATGTTTTTAATTTAATTGCTTTTATGAACCTGATACTATAAAAAATGAGAGAATAGAAACATTTTTTAATCATTTTTCAACAGATTATGCTTGGATTAACAAGTCATGAGGCACATTTCTCTCTTTTAAGAGAAGAGGTTCGGTTTGGTGGCAAAAAGACACAAAGGTAAATCATACTGCATATATGTTAGAAGAAAGAAGAGCAGTTAAATTAAGAATAGTCACCATTTACCAGATACATGATCTGTAAAGATTTTCTCCCATTCGTTTTTATTCTGCTGATAGTGTCATTTGATGCACAAAATTTTTAATTGTGACGATGTCCATTCTTTTGTTGCTTGTTACTTTTAGTGTTATATCCAAGAAATTGCCAAATCTAATGTTGTAAAATGTTTTCCCATTTTAAGAGTTTTGCAGTTTTAACCCTTACATTTAGGGTTTTGATCCATGTTGTTAATTATTATATTTGGTATGAGGTAAGGGTCGACTTCATGCTTTTGCATGTGGATATCCAGTTTTCCCAAAATCATTTGTTGAAAAGACTGTCTTTTTCCCCTTGGGTGGTCTTGGCACTGTGGTTGAAAATCATTTGACCATATATGCAAGGGTTTTCCTGGGCTCTGTATTCTATTCAGTTGATGTCTGTGTTTTTCTTTATGCCATTACCACGGTATTTTGATTACTGAAACTTTGTAGTAAGTTTTGAAATCAGAAAGGATGAGACCTCCAACTTTGTTCTCCTTTGTGAGGATTATTTTGGCTGTTTGGAGTCTCATAAGATTATTCATTTTTAGGATGGATTTTTTGTTTGTGTAAAAAATGTCATTGGGATTTTTTGTTTATGTGAAAAACCTGATTGGGATGGCATTGAATCTGTACGTCCATTTGGGTACTATTTACTGTTTCATAGTAAGTCTTCCAGTTCATCAATACAGAATGTTTTACAATCATTGTGTCTTCTTTCATTTCTTTTGACAGTGTTTTGTAGTTTTACTGTGTAAGTCTTTTACTGTTTTTTTTTTCTTATTTGTTTTCCCTTTTATTAAAAAAAATTTTTTTAATGTAGTCACCATGCTGTACATTATATCTCCAGGGCATATTTATCATATAACTGGAAGTTTTCACCTTTTGCCACCTTCACCCATTTTGCCCAGCCCTCACTCCTCTACCTTTGGGAACCATCTGTCATTCTCTGTGTCTATGATTTCAGTTTTTTGCCTTTGATTTTTTTTCTTTTTCCTCTCTGGTCAAGTTTGTTCCTAAGTTTTTTACTCTTTTGGGTGGTATTCTAAATAGAATTGTTTCTTAATTTCTTTTTTGGATTGTTTGTTGCTGGTATGTAGACACAGCTGATTTTTATGTGTTGATCTTGTATCCTACAATTTTGGGGGATTCTATGGGATTTTCTGTATATGGAATCATGACATCTGTAAATAGAGATAGTTTTACTTCTTATTTTTCAGTTTGTATGCCTCTTATTTTTTTTGCTTGCCTAATTGCCCTGGCTAGGACTTCCAGTTTAATGTTGAATAGCTATAGTGAAAACGGGCATCCTTGATCTTAGGAGGAAAGCTTTCAGTCTTCTAACATGGAATATGATATGAGATGTTTGTTTTTCATAAATTCATTTTTTCATGTTTAGGAAGTTTCCTTCTATTCTTACTTGGCTAAGTACTTTTATCTTGGAAGGTATTGAATTTGACATATGTTTTCTTTGCTAGTTAATTGTATGGTGATTTTCCTTTGTTTATTAATGTAATTTATTACATAGATTTATTTTTTTACATTGAGCCATCCTTGCATTCCTGGGATAGATCCACTTGCTCATGATACATAATCCTTTTAAAATGCTGTTGTCAGTTTAGGGACAACTGGCTGGCTCAGTCAATTAAGCATCACACTTCAGCTTAGGTCCTGATCGCCCAGTTTGTGGGTTCAGGCCCCACATCAGTCTCTGTGCTGACAGCTCAGAGCCTGGAGCCTGCTTCAGATTCTGTGTCTCCCTGTCTCTCTGCCCCTCCCCTGCTCATACTCTGTCTCTGTCCCTCTCTCTCTCTCAAAAATAAATAAACATTAAAAAAAATTTTTAAATGCTATTGTCAGTTTATATTCTTACTTCTGGTTAAGCTTGAAGTATTGACCAATAGCTAGGAATATAGTCCCCTATACCAAGCCAGGGAAAGATAAGAAGAAATAAATGATGGAGCCTCATCATTGAAGCTTTTGTCTGTACTGCCGTAGGCAGAAAAGTGTATATACTCACTTATATGTATGCTTTCTGCTCGTGGCCAGCCTTAAATGGGCAGAAACCACTGGTTTCTTAAATCTGTTATCTATTATTTAGGCTTTCTTAATTCTGAGAATCTTTCCAAAAAAAGCATAAGGCAGACCAATTATTTGAACTTTATTATACTTTTATCTTTTATCTTTATCTTTAGCAACCCTACAGCTTTCATATAAATTACATGCCTGGATTATAAGAATTAATTGTCTTCTAATGATAAGTTTTATTTTAAGCTTCGCTGCATTTTTAAAATTTTATTTTTAATCTTTATTTTTGAGAGAGAGAGAGAGAGAGAGAGCGCAAGTGGGGGAGGAACAGAGAGATAGGGAGACAGAGAATCGGAGCTCCAGGCTCCGAGTTGTCAGCACAAAGCCCGACGGGGCTCAAAGTCACAAACCACAAGTTCATGATCTGAGCTGAAGTCTGACATCTAACCAACTGAGCCACCCAGGCTCCCCATCCTCACTGCATTTTTAAAGTTGAACCTTAAAGACACAACTAACTCTGTGTTGATCATCTCATTAATTACAGGGTATGCGCACCAGAAGAAACCACATTTCACCTCCTACACTTATCTTTAATGAGAGAGTATATTGACTATGAGTTTTCAGTACTGAAAGTAAGTATTAATATAGCTGTGGTACAAAGAAAATGTGTAAGTAGAATTTCCGTACTAGTTGACTTTTTCTCCATTTTGCTATAGGACAAGATCACATTTAAATATGATATTGAAAGGATAATAGATGATTGGATTTTGATGGGATTTCTTGTTGGCAATGATTTTATCCCCCATCTACCTCATTTACATATTAATCATGATGCACTGCCTCTTCTTTATGGAACATATATTACCATCCTGCCAGAACTTGGTGGTAAGAAAAGTTTAATATTTTTTTTGAGGCTACTTTAATTTAGCACTTACTCAGCTAACCGTAAAAATGTGACTCAGTTTATTAGATTATTGCATGCACAGCTAAAGTAGGAAAAAAATTGGGGGTTTCTTTTGGTCTAAGACAGTAAGCTCTGAGGTTATAATGTTCAGTGGTTCACAAGCAAAGAAAATGACAAGAGTTAAGCAGCCTCATTTGCTGATACCTAACTAATCTCTGCCTTTGATTATTTAAGAAAGCCAGTAGAAGATATAAAATGAGGGAAAGAGGGATGCCTGGGTGGCTCAGTCGGTTAAGCGTCCAACTTCATGAGTTGAACTTAGTATCTATTATAATTATACTTTTCTTTTATCTTTATCTTTAGCTACCCTACAGCTTTCATATAAATTACATGCCTAGATTATAAGAATTAATTATCTTCTAATGATAAGTTTTATTTTAAGCTTCGCTGCATTTTTAAAATTTTATTTTTAATCTTTATTTATTTTTGAGAGATAGAGAGCAAGTGGGGGAAGAACAGAGAGACAAGGAGACACAGAATCTGAAGCAGCCTTCAGTCTCCGAACTGTCAGCACAGATCCCGACGGGGCTTAAACTAAAGAACCACAAGTTCATGACCCTGAGCTGAAGTCTGACACCTAACCAACTGAGCCACCCAGGCGCCCCATCCTCGCTGCATTTTTAAACTTGAACCTTAAAGACATAACTAACTCTGCGTTGATAATCTGATTAATTACAGGGTATGCTCACCAGAAGAAACCACATTTCACCTCCTACACTTGTTGGAAATGTAGGAGGATTATTATGTGGACCTGGAATTTATTTTGCTTCAGTTCTTACGTATTTTATATTACTGTCACATGAGTGTCATAGAAAGTAGCACCAGTTATATTGCCCAACACTTGAGTGTTTTTCTTGATTAGTAGAATGTCAACATTCAACATTTTGTAAAAAGAATTTTGTGGAATTGTTTTGAAAAAATAATGTTAACTTTTAGTACAAATTCAGTTTTTGTTCCTTTTAGGTTATATTAATGAAAATGGCCATCTCAACTTACCTCGATTTGAGAAATACCTTGTGAAACTATCAGATGTAAGTAACTAGGTATTATTTTCCTGTCCCAGGGTAGCTATAAATGGTCACAAACCAATTACATAATACTTAAAAAGTTTTGGTACTTCTACTCCAATTGATCATTCTGTATAATTTCACCTATTATTTTTATTTTTAATGCTTTTTGATTTTAGCTTTCATAATAGTAGATGAGGTTCCCATGTGCATAAAAAAGTAACATTCTTTGATATCCTATGCCCCATAAGTAGCAACTATTAAAAGTTTCGTTTGTATTCTTTCAGACATACTTCAGTTATTTTTAAACGAATTTAAATATTTTTGTATAGTTTGATCGGGAACACTTCAGTGAAGTTTTTGTGGACCTAAAGTGGTTTGAAAGCAAAGTTGGTAACAAGTACCTCAATGAAGCAGCGGGTGTCGCAGCAGAAGAAGCCAAGAACTACAAGGAAAAGAAAAAATCAAAGGTGTCTGTTTTTTTAGGTGTCCTTTCATTTTTTTAGCTGTTAAGGTAAAACTGATATTCCATGCTTCTCCCTTTTCTTCTTATGATTTTTGTAGTTGCCTCATTTCATTTTCATTTTTTATTTTCTTCCATGGAACATTAAAAAAAAAAACTGGTTTCTTCTCTTTTAGATCCTATCATTTAAATCTGATCTTTAAAAATCAACTTCTTTTTTTTTCAATGTTTGTTTTATTTTTGAGAGAGAGAGAGAAAGAGACAGAGCTGAGCAGGGGCAGGGCAGAGAGAGAGGGAGACACAGAATCTGAAGCAGGCTCCAGGCTCTGAGCTGTCAGCACAGAGCCCGACGTGGGGCTCAAACTCACAAGCCATGAGATCATGACCAGAGCCAAAGTTGGACTCTTAACCGACTAAGTCACTCAGGTACCCCTAAAAATCAACTTCTTTTTAACCCTTGAAGAATATTCTGTTCTCTTTGCTCATCCATTCTACTAATAAGTGTAGCAAAACTTCTAAATATAAGTGCCCAGAAAATCAGTTATCTTTTGTAAAATGTGGGTATTTATATAACATTTAATATTGATATGTTAACTAGATCAGTGATTTTTCTATAGAAATAATTTATATATAAAATATACCAATAGGCTAGGTTAAGAGTAATATAGCACAATATCTAATAAATGTTAGGTGCTCAGTAAATGAATAATAGAATCATTCACAATATGCTAATACTGTACAAAGCATTAATAATAAACTCTAAAGAATGTCTTATATGTATTAGTTTGGAAAATAAACTTCTTCTGGAGTTTTCTGTACTTCTGAAGGTTTGGGGTTCTGATAAAATTGAGGAGTTTGCTGTACTCTCCTTGCTTTACTGGTTCTATTTAGGCTTAAGCCTAGTAACTCTTGCTCCAGGAAGAGCAGTTACCCTGATTTTCTCTAGTGTAGTCCTAATTGGTTAGCTTTCCTTATTGGAACTTAGGAGCAGTCAGTTTGCATTCTACTGTGTTATTTCTCTTAAGAAAACAGGCTCAGCAACTTCTTGGGAATGTGTACTCAAAAAATTATACCTCAGTAATCCCTGTCTGTACCCATCTCAGCTCCTTCCTTAAGCTTCCCAAGTCTTCAGGCATATGTAGTTAATGTTAGAGACACTGGCAAAATGAGAAGAACTAGAAGAAGAGCCCAAGCACTAGCAGAGGCTCTTCCTTTTGGATGAACAAAAGGAAATGGAGATAAGGGAATAAGAAGAACTAATGAGAGTCACTGGCAGTTGATAGGCAATCAGAAAATAAAAGTTAAGATCACTGGGAGGAAAAACAGATGGGCAGGATGTGAAGAATGTGATGAGATGAGAGAACTATAGAAAAGCAAATGAGTCACATGAGAGGAAAATTTGGAAGTGGAGAATATAACAGAGTTATAAAAATGACAGAATCCAGGAGCATCTGGGTGGCTGAGTTGGTTAAGCCTCAGACTTCGGCTCAGGTCATGATCTCACGGTTTGTGAGTTCCAGCCCCACATCAGGCTCTGTGCTGACAGCTCAGAGCCTGGAGCCTGCTTTGGATTCTGTGTCCCCTCTCTGCTCCACCACCGCTTGTGTTCTGTCTCTCAAAAAAAAATAATAAACATTAAAAAAATTAAAACAAAGAAAAAGAATGACGGAATCCAGGGATATGGAAAATATGTACTATCTATAATTGTGGGAATCAATTATAAATGAATAGATTATGTTAACACAATAGATGAGAATTACCCATTACATATTTTTGAGAAATTCAACGTAATAAAGACTTAGTGAAAAAGTGATACAAAACCAAAAACATTTACACAGTATTTGAGGATTATTTTTATTTATTTACTTTTTATTTTGAGAGAGATCACATGCAGATATGCACTGGCAGGGGAGGGGCAGAGGGAGAGGGAAAATCTTAAGCAGGCTTCACACCCAGCCCAGAGCCCAAAGCAGGGCTCGATCTCAAAATAGTGAGATCATGACCTGCGCCAAAATCTGAAGTTGAATACTTAGCCAACTGAGCCACCCAGGCACCCTGAGGATTATTTTTTAAATGAACTTTTACAGTGTATCACTAAAGGGTCATTCAGTTCTTTTAAATATTTTTTAAATCTTCCTGTTAAATGTCTTACTTTGAAATATATCTTGATATATTGATTTATAAGTATAATTAATTATAAGTATGATATATTATTATAATTAATTATTATATATGTTTATTATTATAATTATGTTAATAATAATTATATTGATTTATAATTTTTTTAGGGCCAGGAAAGCTCCTCCATATGTTGGGCTGCTTTATTTTTTATTTTTTTCGCTTAACAGATTTTTATTTAATTATTTTTTTAATATGAAATTTATTGTCATACTGGTTTCCAAACACCCAGTGCTCATCCGAACAGGTGCCCTCCTCAATACCCCTCACCCACCCTCCCCTCCCTCCCACCCCCTATCAACCCTCAGTTTATTGTCAGTTTTTAACAGTCTCTTATGGTTTGGCTCCCTCCCTCTCTTTTTTTTTTTTCCTTCCCTTCCCCCATAGTCTTCTGTTAAATTTCTCAGGATCCGCATAAGAGTGAAAACATATGGTATCTGTCTTTCTCTGTATGACTTACTTCACTTAGCATAACACTCTCCACTTCCATCCATGTTGCTACAAAAGGCCATATTTCATTCTTTCTCATTGCCAAGTAATATTCCATTGTGTATATAAACTACAATTTCTTTATCCATTCATCAGTTGATGGACATTAGGCTCTTTCCATAATTTGGTTATTGTTGAGAGTGCTGCTATAAACATTGGGGTACAAGTGCCCCTATGCATCAGCACTCCTGTATCCCTTGGGGGGGGGGGATTCCTAGCAGTGCTGTTGCTGGGTCATAGGGCAGATCTATTTTTAATTTTTTGAGGAACCTCCACACTGTTTTCCAGAGTGGCTGCACCACTTTGCATTCCCACCAACAGTGCAAGAGGGTTCCCGTTTCTCCACATCCTCTCCAGCATCTGTAGTCTCCTGACTTGTTCATTTTAGCTACTCTGACTGGCGTGAGGTGGTGTCTGAGTGTGGTTTTGATTTGTATTTCCCTGATGAGGAGCGATGTTGAGCATCTTTTCATGTGCCTGTTGGCCATCTGAATGTCTTCTTTAGAGAAGTGTCTATTCTTGTTTTCTGCCCATTTCTTCACTGGATTATTTGTTTTTCGGTGTGGAATTTGGTGAGTTCTTTATAGATTTTGGATACTAGCCCTTTGTCCAACATGTCATTTGCAAATATCTTTTCCCATTCCGCCAGTTGCCTTTTAGTTATGTTGATTGTTTCTTTTGCAGTGCACAAGCTTTTTATCTTCATGAGGTCGCAATAGTTCATTTTTGCTTTTAATTCCCTTGCCTTCGGAGATGTGTCAAGTAAGAAATTGCTGCGGCTGAGGTCAGAGAGGTTTTTTTCCTGCTTTCTCCTCTAGGGTTTTGATGGTTTCCTGTCTCACATTCAGGTCCTTTATCCATTCTGAGTTTATTTTTGTGAATGGTGTAAGAAAGTGGTCTAGTTCCATCCTTCTCCATGTTGCTGTCCAGCTCTCCGGGCACCATTTGTTAAAGAGACTGTCTTTTTTCCATTGGATATTCGTTCCTGCTTTGTCAAAGATTAGTTGGCCATACTTTTGTGGGTCCAATTCTGGAGTCTCTATTCTATTCCATTGGTCTATGTGTCTGTTTTTGTGCCAATACCATGCTGTCTTGATGATGACAGCTTTGTAGTAGAGGCTACAGTCTGGGATTGTGATGCCTCCCGCTTTGGTGGTCTTCTTCAGTATTACTTTGGCTGTTCGGGGTCTTTTGTGGTTCCATACAAATTTTAGGATTGCTTGTTCTAGCTTCAAGAAGAATGCAGGTGCAATTTTGATTGGGATTGCATTCAGTGTGTAGATTGCTTTGGGTGGTATTGACATTTTA